ACCAATGTCATCACAATAAATTCAATATATAATTTTAAAAAATCAGAATATTAGAGAAAGGTCGAATTTATATTGTAGGAAAATGTATTGTAGTCACTCAGTAGCCTTGCTTTTCTTCTAATTCAAATTTCACAGTGGTTAAAAGACTTTAACCATTTTTTGCCCTTTTCTTTAGCATTTTTGCCTAATCTGTGATTTTATTTCTCTAATTCCAAATCACCTGTATTTTTAAATCTAACTTCGCTCATTTGTTGTCTACATTTATGTCAAATTTCTTAAGAGTGTACTCTACTTAACAATCTTTAGGAGTGTTAAAGCTAAAACAAAATGAATTTCTCCTTGTGGTTTGGAGACTATTTTAGATTCCTTAGCCTGCTCCAGGCCTCCAGAGAAGCTCAGCCACCCGTGGACGAGCACCATCCTCACAGACCTGAGGCAGGCATCCTGACACTGATAGCACGGCCTTTCACAAGTGTGGGAGAGCTGGTGCAGTTTTAAGTTAGAAGTTCTGTTTAGAAGTACACATTACTGGGCTTAGTAGTGTATATGCCAGTTCCCTAAAATACGACTTCAGTTTGGTTTAGTTTCTTGTTCTTAATATTTGTGCATGTGCCCTTGGGTTATAAGGATCTCGAAGAGAGTATGAATTAATCAGCTCAAGTCTGTCCCAGCAAGTAAAAAAAGCAAAACCAAGAACATGATCTCCTGACTGTTTGTGTTTGGGATATCATTTCATCTTCCACTGTGCTGTAGAAAGATTGTTGGACTGGAAAACACTAACTTAGGGACCTCACTCTGCTCTAATTAGCTGTGTAACTTCAAGCCTCAGTTGTTTTGTGTCAGAAAGGAGAGAGACGTGAACTAGATGATTTCTTTCTCTTTGGGGGAGGGGAATAGTTGTATATAGTTTTACATGTAGTTGGATAGTTGTATATAGCTACTGTATATTAAGTTGAATAGCTGTATATATAGCTGAATAGATGTATATAGTTGTATATAGAGTCAGATAGTTGTATATAGCTTTATATATGGTTGAATAGTTGTACATAGCTGTACATGTGATTGAATAGTCCATGTAGTTATATAATAGTTGAATAGTTGTACATAGCTGCTGTATATTTAGTTGAATAGATGTATGTAGCTGCATATATAGTTGAATAGTTGTATATAGCTGTATATATGGTTGAATCATATATTGCTGTTCTATATTCACTTAAGTAGTTGTATATAGCTGTAGATATACTTGAGTAGTTGTATATAGCAGGATCTGTAGTTGAATCATTATATATAGCTCTGTATATTGTTGAACAGGTGTATATAGCTGCTATGTATTTAGTGGAATACTTAGTTGTACCTACCTGTATATATAGTTGAATAGTTGTATATAGTTATATATGTATTTGAATAGTTGTACAGGTGATTTCTTAGATCTTTTTTCTAGATTAAAAAAATTATGATAATGATTCTGTGATTCTGTTTTTCACTATTTCAGCCCTTCTCTTAATTTTTTTAATTTTTGTTTCCACTGCTCTACCCTTTTACTTTTTCTTGTTCCAAACTCTCTAATGTTGCTGTTGTTCCTGCACCCTTTTTATTTTTCCAGTTCTGTGTTTTTCTCTCCTTTTACTTTATTATTCCACTATTGTTTTCCTTTTCTGGGGTAATTAAGACTGTCCACAGAGTGTGAGATGAAGGCACACATTAAGAAAGTGGGAGAAGCCGCCTTAGTTCAAAATTGTACCCTTTTCTAAAAAGATGTAGTACTGCACTGTCACACAAGAATTTATAGTCTAGAGCCTGTGCCTGACAGAAAATGGTTTGAAGTCTTTTATATTTTGTTTTCTGAGTAATTTTTTTATTTTTCTTTCTTATTTTGTTTTATTTTATTTAAACAGAATACGGACATTCTTTGAAGTCTAATCATGATCACTACAGATGAACCCAATGTATCAACTGTCCAACATTCTATAGAGTATTAGAAGATTTTTACATTTTGAAGAAGGGGAGAAAATCTAAAAATAAAATTTGGTTGAACTATTGAGAACTAACCTATGATGGATTATGTTGATTTAGAACTAAAAAGAGATGGGTAAATTTGGGATCAAGATAAAAGTCTGAGTCCAGTTCAGTTGGGATGTATGATTACTTTTCATATCATCTGAAGTTTGAAAAGCAATATTCATGATATCTGGCTTTTGATTTATCATTTGGTCATGAAACATTAAAAAATTGTAACTTGCTCTTACTACATATCTACTAGATATCATTGAATATAGAGTAAACAATTCTGTAAGTAGATGGCAACAGCAGCTTCTGACATGCAGTTTTGCAAATACACTGACTCTAATTATAGGTGCAGTAAAAGTACTTAGTTAATACTTTTATGTCCAAAATTTTCCACTTTGTATTCTTTTATAGACACATCAATGTGGACAACCTGGGAATTTCCATTTTCAATAGCCTCAAAAATGGTCAAGTGCTAACTTCCATTTCATTTCAGAGAAAGCCAGAAGTTAGAGTTTGTGCAGGTCGCAGGCCTCTGGAAGTTACAGTTCGTATCAGCATGACCTGACATATATCTAGGTCAGATCAACCAGAAAACACATTAGCTTCCAGTTCAGCCTTCTTGTGAAATTTTGCCTGAATTTAATTTATTTACACTGAACCTCCCAAAGCTTTTGGCAGGCAGGGGAGTGCACAGTGATGCAAGAAGGAAGACTCTAGAGCTTTGACAAATTTTACTGCGAAGACAGGACATTTCTCCTGAAAAAGATCACCTGCTGTTTGTAGGAGCTTAGCATAGTAACTGTGCTGTTGCTCACATTCAGAATAAACCAAAGTCTCTGCTTGATGAACCAAAAAAGTATTCAGTTAGGCTATACATGGATCACTTGCATTTAGATTTCATTTGTAGTTTTATTTGAATGCAAAAAACAAAAACAAAAAACCCTAAAAATCAGAACTGCATCCTTTTTTTCCTTCCTTGACTTTAAATAAATGTCATTGGAATGTAAAATGTAAGTGTGAAATTAAGAAAAGACATTCTTTATTTCCTACCTGCTAAACACATACAGGGTGTCCCCAAAAATGTATACACATTTTAACAGCTGATAGCTGCTAAATGAAAAATGAAAAATGAAATGTATTTTAATAAGCACTGCCTTTATAATTATTCAAAATGTGTGTATACATTTTTTTGGGACACCCTATATTTAATATGTTCCCAGACTGTTAGAAAATCTCAAAAGTTTATATGCATATAGTAATTTAAATGATTTTTAATGAGCATATGTTTAATAAAGGTTTGTGACCCCTTTATATAATATACTTCAATAATATGAGTATATGATTTCTAATTAATTATTAGTGAAGTCTTCCATCTTAAATGAATGCATTTGAAGACATGTAGAGTATTTGATGTCAATAATTAGTTACCAGTTATGAAGTTTTAGAGGGCATGAAATATGCCAGACATGCCATTTGAAGAACATATGTGACTTTGATTGCACACTATGGGCTAATTATGTGTTGTTGTTTTTCACACTGATAGTATGTAATTCCTTTATTTGGCGATCTTAATTTCTAGGTTATTTTAAATGTTAAGAAATTCAATACATATATAGTAGTGACCTTAAGAAAAAACACAAAGTGAGCAAGCAAATATTTGAAGGAAATCATAAATCCATGTATAGATTTCTGTCACAAAGAAAATAGGCACAGAAACAGTTTCTCTTCATATATAATGTTTATAGAATAATGGAAAAGGTTATGTTCACATGATATTCGTCATTATGCAGTATTTTAATATCTATATAACTCTATTCCATTATTATATTAGTGTTTGTATATTTATTCTTTTATGGTTATAATCACCAATACATTTCACTTAAGAGTTCAAAACGTTGCTAAATGAATTATGTTTTCATATGGAATAGATTTGCCATTATGAATTCAGGCAATAAATCTGAATTCATTTTATTAGTTTAAAAATTGTAACATTCAAAAGTTCAATTATATGTATGATATACAAACTGAACACATTTTCTATAGCACCTCATTTGGTTGTGTTAATTTTTCAATGTGATGTGTCCACAGTATTTTTTGCATTTATTGTTTCAATATGTTCACGTTGTATGAGTTGTGCTTTTTCGCACACATATTCTTGATGTGTTGATGGTTGGGAGGATTTTTTCTTGTGCTGTAACCACCATTCTTATAAAAATATGATATGCATTTGTTTTGTGTCTTTGTCTTCATTTCACACACCCCATAGTATGTATTCTCATATAAAGTTAGTTATAAGGAATAGTCGTTGAGAAGCCTGCGATCATCTTTTTCACCTTCTTTGTTTTCAACAAATAGGTATTCTAAGTTCTTATTTTCTGATCGTTTTAAACAGATTCTCAGTATGATGTAAGGCAGATAAGCTCTTAGCAGTCACAAATATTTTACCTTCACACCATATCTTATGTCACGGAGTAGATATTTTTACTGTCTTTGGGGTAAGTTTTTTGCTCCTTTGATTTTATTTCAATTTTTTTTAGTTGAGGTTTAAATTTTCAGTTTGTGGAAATCTAATTTGCTGTTAAATGTTAGGACTTCTTCAGAAGATGGCACTTTCTAATTACAAAAATCAATCTTTATTGAGAGCTAAGCGCTTCCAGACACTGTTTAACTTATTGCCCACCACAATGCCATGAAGTAAGTATTGGACATGTTTTCACAGATGAGGAAACTGAGATGAAAGGCCGAGAGATGAGTGTACTTGCCCACGGTCACAGAAATAGAAGAGCTCGTTCTTCTTTTAAACATCACTGCTTTTCCTTTATGATTTTTGATGTATGGTTTAGTCCCAAACTAGTTAAATTTTGGTTGACTTATGTCCTTTAGCATTAACTTCTCACACTTCCATTTCTGTAAGCATGTCATAGTGAAGCAAAAAAAAGCAAAAAAAAAAAAAAGGAATACAATTGAACATTAAAATGTGTCTTTTCTTTTAGCCAGAAACGTTTGAGCATCTTTTTATCAAGCACACAGAGTCGGTGACGTCTGGCCCTCTTCTTCTGGAGCCTGAAACCATTTCGGAAGATATCAGGGTGGATACGTCGTGGGAAAATAAGGACGGGAAGGCACCGGCAACTATGGTTCCTCTGCTTTTGACAACTCCGGACCCTGAAAAGGCCTCTGTGGGTCTGAGTGACCAGCGCGGCAGGGCCGGCGACTCTGGGGGGAGCCCCGAGGCGGCCCGGGGGGGCCAGGGCGAGGGCAGGGCGCAGGCCCCCGTCCGATACGCCTCCCTGCTCTGCGACGCGAAGCCGGGCGCAGCCGAGGCGCCAGGGCCCCTGCACAGCCCGGGCCGGAGCCCTCCGCCCCAGGGCCCCTTCCCTGAGAGCTCCTGGGGGGCAGAGACACAGGCACTTTTCATGTTACCAGATCAGCATCCCGGTATCATTCCACCACACCTTACATTCTCAGAAGAATTGGATACACTTCTGAACCTCGAGGGAAATTTCTCTGAAGAAACTAATGATGAAAAATCCATCTACTATTTAGGGGTCACATCGATGAAAAAGGAGAGTAGTGTGTTTCTGACTGACGAGCCAAGGGTGCTGTGTCCATACCCAGCCCACTGTTTATTCACTGACATCCGAATCCTCCAGGACAGTTGCTCACACCTTGTAGAAAATAATTTCAACTTAGGATCTTCTGGCCAGAAGGCTTTTGTGTCCTACATGCCTCAGTTTCAGACTTGTTCCACCCAGACTCAGAAGATAACAGAAAACAAGATGTGCGACCTAACTGTCTAATTTCAATCAAGAAACAGCTCAAGTTATGTTACAGTGAAACCTAAAACGTGTAATATATTCCCCTATAGTCGTGGATATGGGAGAGGAAAGAAAACTGTCGGAGTCAAATTTGAAAGGGATTGTTTCAGAACGAATGGTACCTGTCTGTCCTCGCTCAGCCATACAGACGAGTAACGGGAGAGGGCCTTCGGGAGCCCGGCAGCCTCCAGTGGCCTGTTTCTAGCTGAAAATAAACCCAACGAATATCTTCCGTGAACATTAGACCTGTGTAGAAAGAGCTAAGCCTCTGGATCATACCTACATCTGAAAGAAGACTTCACACTAACGCTTGTGAGACGTGCCTGTTGTTTCAGGGATGTGGTAGTTCTGCCGTGAGGCGTCTTTGTTTTACCCTAATTTATATGCATGCGTGTACAAACACACCTAATAGGCGTCATTGTGCATTTTTGAAATGTGTGATGTGTCTGAATTTTGTGCCACTAGGCTGTGTGGTTTAAGGACTTTTCGATTTAACCAGCCTGCCTTGAGCACTTCCTCTGTGTTAAGCACTCCACTAAGTGTTGCAGAGAAACAGAGGCCTTAGCCCTGGCCTCGGGGACACGCGGGTGAAGCCTGACAGGTCAGCCGGTGTTATGTATAAAACCTAAGATGTGTACCGTAGAAGGAAACCAACTTACTATAATGGCAATACCCACACCAGTATTTTGAGAACAACACAAGCACTTTTGAAACATGCCTGTCTTCACTTTTCTCTGTTCGGTGTTGAAACGCTCACTTTCTGCTTCCGTTAGGTCGCTCGATGTTGCTGAACGTCACTCTGGATCCTTGTCTTCCCCTTTCCCACTTGCATGTACGCTATTTTTTTCTCCCTTCCTGAACATTCTCTCTCTGTAACCAACCACTGTGCTAACCCTTTCCATACTTTAACTCGATTAATTATTAAAATAATTATATGAGACATGTACTATTACACTCCTTTCAATTTTTTAAAAATGTTTTTTTTGATTTCTGAGAGAGGAAGGGAGAGAGAGAGAGAGAGAAACATGAATGATGAGAGTCATTGATTGGCTGCCTCCTACCCTCCCCCTGCTGGGGATCAAGCCCCAAAACGGGGCTACACTCCTTGTAAAGAGGAGGAGATTAAGTAATTTGCCAAGGTCCCGCGGTTAGTGGAAGATGGAGCTGGAATTCAGTTTAAACTCAGAGCTTTTCAATGCTAGCGATTGTGTTTTTAACCTATACCTTGTATTGACTTCCATTAAAAAATCAACAACAAAACAAAATACAAAAGCTGATGTGTCAAATAAAATATATTAGGTAGAAATATAATGTCAAATGAAAATTGAGAGTTACACAGATACTATCTTTGTCTTTAAAAACTTTAAAGTTTATTGTTTATTTCAGCTTTTGGTATGGCAAGAAAATTGAAAGACAGCATATTGGGCAGCAAGTTAAATTAAGAATTTGCACAGATAGATGTTCAATGGCAGTAAGAATTTGAAGATTATCAGCATCATCAAAAAAAAATACTTTAGTTCTCAAAAATGTGACCATAGGTTGTTAAACATCATTGCTTTCATACTTAGACTGAGACGATTTGCTGATTTAACTGTTACCCCGAATAAAGTCCTACATGCCCTCTCTATTCCAGGTGTAGCCATATGAAGTGAGTTCTAAACAATGACAAAGATCTCAGGTGCCGTTTGACCCAACAATCCCACTTCTAGGAATATATCCTAAGAATCCCGAAAAACCAGTCAGAAAGAATATATGCACCCCTGTGTTCAGAGCAGCATTGTTATTTTGTTATTTTTTATATATTTTTTTAATATATCTTTATTGATTTCAGAGAGAGGAAAGGAGAGGGAGAGAGAGAGAGAGAAACATCAATGATGAGAGAGTCATTGATCGAGCCCGCAACATGGGCATGTGCCCTGACCGGGAATCGAACCCCAATCACCTGGATCCCAGGTCGATGCTCAACCGCTGAGCCACGCCCAGCTGGGCAAGAGCAGCATTATTTTAATAGCTAAGATCTGGAAACAGCCCAAGTGCCCATCAGCAGATAAGTGGATGAAAAAGCTGTGGGACATTTATACCATGGAGTACTACGCAGCTGTAAAAAAGAAAGATCTCTCACCCTTTGCGACAGCATGGAGGGACCTGGAGATGATTATGCTAAGCAAAATAAGCCAGTCAGAGAAAGACAAGTATCACATGATCTCACTTATATGTGGAATCTAATGAACAAAATAAACTGATGAACAGAATAGGTCCAGAGACATGGATGCATGGAACAGACTGACGGAACTCAGAGGGAAGGCGGGCAGGAAGAGATTAACCGAAGAATTTATATGCCTGTATGTATAGCCCAAGGACACAGAAAATAGTGCAGTGAAGGCCTGGGGTTGGGCTGGGGCTGTGGAGGGGGCAAAGGGGTGGGAAATGGGAGACATCTGTAATACTGTCAATAATAAAAAATTTTAAAAATAAAATGTGAGTAAAGATTTGAGAATTAAAATACATTCAATAGTTTAAAAAAGTATCTCAGATCCCAGCTCTAGGTATCTTTTCATACTTCATGATCGTTTGCCTCTTAGCAATCCATAAAGCTGTTTCGTGGCGTAAGTATTGTTGAGATGTTTCAGGATCTCACGTATTCAACTGATGACCCTCTTACAAGAGAAGGATGGAGACCCATATCAGCGCACTGAACAATCAGTGTGGTAGGAAAGCCTTGGTTCTATATGAATGTAAGTTGAGAAAAAATATTTTTTCACTGATTTTTTAAGTGGTTTACAGGTTCAGTAGGAGAACATTTTACATATATATGGAAGTTTTGGTAAAATTGACGATTTTTAATATTGCTCATAGAATACAGACATTTAATTGAAGATAGAGTATAGAAAAGATAGAAAATTACATTTTGCCCCAGTTTTCATATAATTAGAGACTAAACATTGAGCATGTCCGCTGATACACAACATTCACCTGTGGTCTGGGACTCAGGACAGCATGGAAGAGAAACTGATAGATGCTTTTCAACCAGCCCAAGGTTTCACCACACTGTGTGGACACAGTAGTGAGTTCAGAAGTCCCAGGACCACTGGAGTGCTACAGAACTGAATTAAAGAAATTTAGTGACAGCACCTTAACCCCAGATTGTTGGTACCATCCTGGTGCAGCTTCGGTTCCAAAAACAAGTTTCAAAAATATTGAAATTACAAGGGACTTTCTTTAATGGAGAGGGCTGAAGTGGTACAGTTTGGCCTATTGGTATATATTAGATTTAGATCGTATTTATTGTCAATGTGCTAGGACTCTGATTTTCACTTTTGAAAGTTCATTTCACTATATATATTACTGTATATTGTTGGGCCTTTATGAAAATTATGTGCCAATAAGTAGTGGATTTTCATTAAAATGTAGGTAAAGTTTAGAATCTTTTATCCTTCAGGATGGCCAGATATTCTCCATTTCTTTCCCAGAGACTGTCTAAAAAAATTTTAAGGGAGAGGAGCTGAAATACGAGTTTGGACTTTTAAATTTAAGATAAATCAGGAATTTTGAACATTGTATTTAAAGGCCTTAAATTGCAACACAAAATACTATTCAGTTTCTAGAAATGTGAAATTCTAACCGTTTGAAGACAAATCATTTTTCAAGGTTAATAAGACTGTAGATTTCCTAGATTAAAACCCCCAAGAACAGAGATGAAAAAAAAAAAATCAAGGAATACTTAGTAAGAGTAGGGGCCTCCTCTTGAGCCCTATGCACCAATTTTGAGATGAGATATATATTGATAAGAATTGGAAAAGATACTATTTTTAAACCTAGTTTCAAGTAGTGAAAGGACATGGGTGAGATTCCTAAACCAATGTGTGGTCCTAGACCTGGAATAAAGTTTTATGACCCTCAGCATGACATTCTTCTGCCTCTTCTCAGGCCTTCCCAATAAAACCAATTTCCTCCTTCCAGATAGCAAACATATGGTCATATTCCCTTAGAAATATCCATCTTTACTTCTCAAAAGCTGAGGAAAGACAAATTTCCTCCACAAATTGATAGCAGATTCCAAAGCTGCTCTGGCTGGCACGGTACCCAGGTTAGGCCGTGAGAGCCGCGTCCGGGGGCTCCGGTGGGCTTGGCCAGGGTGCTGAACGCATCAGGACCCACTGCCACCACCTGCCACCTGGATGGGCATGAACGGGACTTCTCTCCAAATCCTTTCCTATAGTGTTTACAAGAAATTTGTTCTACTTTTCATCTTTCAAATGCCGTCTTGATAGTTACAAACTCTTCTAAAGTATCCATTATTGAGAAAACATTCTCAAATTTTAAAACACAAAATAAAAATGGGCCTCTCTACTCTGGTGAAAAGAAGTTGCATTTGATAAAAAACTTAGACACAGTTACCAAAAACAACGTGAGGAACTGTTGATAAAAGGAAACTAAATAAGTCAGTAGTTTTATTCTTCCCTTAACAACTAGTTTAAAACAAAGCACTCCACCTAGTCACAACCTAATCCAAAGAGCAACTTTGAATACAAAAGTCTGTATTGGAACTGAGATATTGTTACATGTATTTGAGCATTAAGAAGTGGTTTCCAGGGGTGTTTATATTGACCAAATTATTTTTATTCAAAGTTTATCAGTCCATATTTATTTTGAAAAGCTGCTGATGTCTCAATATACAAATGATGTATTATAGAATTGATTACCTGAAACCTATATAATTTTATTAACCAATGTCACCCCAATAAACTCAATGAAAAGCTGCTGATGTCTATATTTCAAAATTAATTATGCTTAAGATGTATGGCATTAAATTCAATTTTGTGAGAATATTTGACAGGATATTTTAAATAACATGTTCACTCAAAAAACCTGAAACAGAAAAATTTGGAAGATGTTAATTTTTGCAGTGAAATACTTATATTGTAGATATTATACTTTTAAAACTTATCACTAAGTATTTGGCATTCAATTAACATGTTCTCTTAGTCACAACCGGTATGTTAATAAATGCTATAAGTGTAAGTGCAGAGAAATGCATCATTAATTGTTCAATAAAATTTCATTATCCCAATTCTTATGTTTCTAAAGTCATAAAGTATAAGCTATGACTTACTTCAATTTTTTTATAAATATGAATTATAAACAATGTCAGAATTTTAAGAAATGGAAGTCCAAATAGAATTATTATCAACTTAAGTTGTTTTAGGATTATTTTATCTATTGTATGAGTACTACTTTCAGCAAATATTTGAAAATATAAAAAAGTAACCCTTGTACTTTATGTAAATAGCTACGATAAAGTTTTTATTTATTGTTAGGCTTCGTGCCTTCAAATTCTTACAAACACAATGCCTTACCTTTGGAAGGGATTTGAAAACATTTTAGATCCAAGTTATCTCCCTTTTCTGTTACTCTCTCGAATACCATCGCCCCACCCCAAATTCTTGCTGGAATTATAAGTACTTGAGATGAAAAATAACTCATTTTAAACATCAAGAGCTTTTTAGCTCCTTAAGAAATCTTGATTTACAGTAGTTTGTGGACATTTATTATGTCACTTAGGTTTCTAGCAATGTAAGTTTGTAGCCACTATTTGGGCTAGTATTTAAATATGTTCTCTTTCTGGCTTTTTAATTTTAAAATGTAAATAAAACAAACACACAAAGGAAAAATTTCAAACAGCACAGAGAAGTATGAAATAAAAAGTGTAAGTCTTTTATTCCCAACCCTTAGTGCCTGTTCCCCCAAATAATCTCTGTGATTGTCATACACATGCCATTTTAGAAATTTACATCGTTGGGACTGTATTCTGTTTGCTGTTATAAAACTACCCCTTCCCCTTCATATATCTGGGTGATATTTCCCTATAAACTTAAATATACCTAGTTCATTAACTTTAATGGTTGCATTGTATACCATTGTATCACAAGTACAGTGATTTATGTAAACAAGTCACAAATGGTGAACATTTAAGTTATTTCCAGTCTTTT